ACTGTAATATTTTGTCTGATGAGTTTTCATCAACATTAAGTGAGGACGATGGAGATGTGTCTTCTTTTTTTTAAAACACTGTTGGAAAAAACACATAAGTCAAAGCACCATTTTCAATGAAGATAAATGTAATGCCATTATGCTAATTATACTGAACTATGCTGTCTGTCACTAAAATGATAGAAACAGATGGTTAAAACAGAAGTTCAGTATAATTAACCCCAGAGACAACACCTCTGGGGTTGTCTTAAAGTTAGGACAGTATTTAGGAAACTGTCTTGTTAGAATGTTTCTGTAATACTGTGCTGAAGACAGGATAAGATTATGAACTTAGGAAGTATTGTTCTGTGAATGCTTCTGTCCTAAATTCAGTCCTAACTGACGTTGTCATGGTGAGTAAATAGATAAGTTTTCAGAGTTACAAATTTTCTGTAATATGGCCCTTGGTGCACTTTTATGTCACCTTTGTGCTTTTTTAACATAGCAAAGAAACAGCAGGATATGTATTCTCTGGATCTCCATGCTTTATTTTTTCATGTGGTGGGCATGTCTTCCAATAACCACCAAACAGAATGAAGTCATATTTAAATATGTAAAACCTTCCGATGAGCACCCAAATGAACAACAATGAGTGCTTTTAGATGCACTTAAAAATTCAGCAGAACATCAGGTTTTGTTAGTAATCCAATCAAAGTGTTTACATGCACTAGGTAATGAGATAATGGGAAAACTCCAGGTCTACAATGTATGCATGAGTCAGGCAATAATCAAATTTCTGCTTTGCAACCAGCCAATAAACTCACAGAGGAAGACATGATGTAAATGTAACGTAAGACTGAGAAATCCAAAACAAATCTGAGTAAGAGTATACATGAGCTGAGAAATCTGATTACTGAGCTAAAATCCAGCTTTTTTTTATAGGGTTTCTTAATCGGATATCTAGACCTCAGAGTATGCTGTTTACATGACCATTTGAATAATCAGATAACTGCAGAAATCTGACTATGATCAGATTATTAAGTGCATGTATATACACTTAGTGTGTCAGATTCCAGTTCTGATGGGCCACAGTTCTGCTAACCTTTGAACACATCTGTTTCAACCCATCAGTTAATTAGCAAGATCTTTATAACCAAATTTGAGACCATTAAATGAGAGAAAACAATAATCAGAGCTGTGCAAGGCTGTGGCCCAGCAGGCATCCAGTTTGCCATGCCTGGTCAAGAGGAAGCATGCTGAAAGTGTCCATCTTTGACTGCATTAACAACAGAGAATAAGGAATGACCACTTAAGAAGATGCTCTTCCTTTGCTTTGAACCACTGCTAGTTTTATTTTTCTGAACATTTCCAAGAGACTACACTTTCATAAGTGATAGACTCGATTTTTACATAAAACCCAGTGCTAGTTTTGTTGCCAAAATGCTTGTCACCTGACTAAATAACCTGGTTGCAATCAAAGTTTCAGTTATGTTCAATGAACTCCAAGTGCTTATGTTTGTTTTTTCCCACAGCAGTGGCTTTCTTCTGGCAAGCATTCTACATAATTTGTTGGCATGGAGATGGCATTTTACAGACCACAGCGTGCAACAATGCACTCTGTAACTGCCCAAGTGTGATCTTTGAAGAATGTTTTTCCTCTCAAACCATCTCCCTTGCTGGCCAAAATACACTTGCATCATATTTCAGGCTAGTTAAGCATCAAAACATTTTTCTCTAAACCTGGACCACTGATCCTAGGCCTACCAGTCCCCAGTGACAATGGAGGGGCAGTGGAGCACTCAATAAAAATGAGCATGGGCTGAGATTGAATCCAAGAAAGTGTATTAAGCTAAGTGCACTTAGCTTAATACAGAACCAAAACATGTAATTAAAGTCTGCTAGACCTGCAATATAACCCAATAGCATATGGCAATGGTGTCCAATTTTATTTGCAAATGGCTGCTGTTTTTGTGCAGGTTTTCATTCCAAAAAAGCAGGAGCACAAATGATCAGTTGTTGGAAACTGAGACTAACTGATTAAACAAGTAGAATCAGGTTCTGCTCCTGCTTGTTTGGAATGAAAACCTGCAGCCACATCAGCCCTTTGCAGATTTGATCAGACACCCCTGGCATATGGTGTCATGGTCCATGTAGGTTTCTGAAAGTCTTAAATCGCACAGATGAGGTCTGGGAACAATTGTAAGCTGGATAAAGCTGAGACGAGCTCAGTAAATAAGTAGTGTTTAGTCTCTCTAATGCACCTTTCACCATCTTTCAGTCAAATCTCATCCTAGCTCCCTATCTCGTTTAGATTTAATGAATTGTTGTAAGACCAAGGTATCAAGTTGTAGTAAACAAAAACAGATATAAATCTCTTTTTGGTTGGAAATTCAGGAGTGCAGAGGATGAGGAGACAAGTTACGTAGTATACTGTATGCAGTGACATAGCTAAAAAATAACCAAAATATTGTGGGTTTCAACATTTAATAATGTTGTCCTTGTACTATTTTCAATTAATTATAGGATTTAAATGATTTGCACATCATTGCATCGCATTGTTTTTATTTTCATTCTGCACAATGTCCCAACTTTTTTGGAAACAGGGTTGTAAAATTTTTAGTTATGCCTCTGGATGTTAGCAGCCCAAAATTACACAAAATCCAAGGTCATTAGCTTCTTGAGGTCTCCAGAATTCCTTTACTAATAAGAAGTTAACTATAACACAAAATGGATATTGTCTTTATCCAGCTTTTGAACTTCTCAGTTAAGCTTGCTTTTGATGTGAATTCCAAGATTTTAAACCCTGATAAAGAAGGGCAGACTGCTTAATCTGTAGGGCAGTTTTTTTGATCATGAAGCATTTGCTCTACTTAATACTGAACTTGTAACCTGAGAAGCTACCAAAGCTCCAAAGTAGATTGGACATACGGGATAGAAGACAATGGGTAAATTGACTTAAGAAAAGCAGAAGACATTTTTGCATACAGTGAGACTGTGTGACCTATGAACCATGAACACCATAAACTACACCGTGTATGTGAGAGAAGGATGCAACCCTCTAGGGTGAGGTGCAGAGCAATTCAACTCATGAAAACAAAGGAGCCACAAACTTTAAATCTCTCCAAGACATTAGATAAATTATTCCACTCAATGTAGCCAAAAGCCCTCTAAGCTTAAAAAATACTTTGATTGAAAGAATCCTTTATACAAAGTAGTTATTTAGGATGGATAGTTAATTTACTCATTAAGTGAGCACATGAAGTAATTTTTTTTAGGTTGAATGAATGAGCCATTTTTTACAGTGTATATGCAAGGTTACTTTGGGTACTATTTTACCTATGAATTACCTATCTGCCATGAATCTTTTTAAAAATATCTTTTAGGCCAAAACTTTATCTCATAACAAACATCAAATGTAAATTGAATTGACTGTTTTCATCTTAGCAATTTAATTATGCAGAAATCTTGAAAAACAAAGGCCTATAGATTTTGAAAAACAAAGGCCAAAGGGAACAATCTACATGCTACTGGGGCCGTATTTTCAGTTCTTACAGGAATTTTATGACTTTCTATTAAGTTTAATAACATTTTCGAAAAAAGTAATAATTGTCATAACCTAATCTCATACTAAATTCGTTTTAGCCGTAATGTATGTTCAAAACCATGCTATCGTGTTACGCGGACTATAAATTCCTCCACAGCTGGTAGCCTAATCAGAAACCTCCCACAATTTTCAGCTTCAATCAGCTGTCCGTCTAAACGTACTGCATTAGATATTATGACCAAGTGCTTAGTGAATACTTTTCATTCTACGTTAGATAATGTGGCTCCATTAAAAAGTAAAATAATAAGACAGAAAAAGCTTGCCCCATGGTATAATGATCATACGAGCTTTAAAACAGACTGTGAGACAACTAGAGCGAAAATGGCACCTGACTAAACTAGAAGTATTCCAGTCCACCTGGAGGGAGAGCCTTATAGACTATAGAAGAGCACTTATTGCCACACTCAACCTATCTCTCCTCTCTCATAGAAAATAATAAGAATAGTCCTAGAATATTATTTAGCACTATTTCTAAATTGACTAAGAACCAAACAGTTACTGAACCTCAGATGCCATCAGCCTACAGCAGCAATGATTTTATGAACTTCTTCAGTAATAAAACTGAAAAAATTAGGCAAAAAATTTAGAACACACAGTTTAACTTTACAAACCTGCTGCCTTACAAAGCCAATCCAGATCTTAAGAATATTGTAACTACTGCAGAGAGGCTGGAATCGTTTACCTTACTTGAACAAACTGAGCTAGTTAAATTATTTCCTCATCAAAATCTTCTACTTGCGTATTAGATCCAATTCCTACAAGTTTACTCAAAGAAATTTTGCCAGAAATAACCAAGCCTATTTTGTCAATAACAAACTCCTCTCTTAGCCTTGGCTATATTACAATAACTCTTAAACTAGCAGTAATTAGACCTCTGATAAAGAAAGCTAATCTTGATCCCTGCGAACTATCAAATTATAGGAAAATTATAGGATCTCGAATCTCCCCTTTATATCAAAGATCTTGGAAAAAGCTGTGGGTGGAAGGTAGGATACACCCTGGACAGGTTAGTACAGAGACAGCACTAGTGAAATTGTAAATGATCTCTTATTATTCTCTGACCAAGGAAATGTATTGATGCTAGTCCTCTTTGATCTTAGTGTGGTATTGATACGACAGACCATTCTAACTTAGACTGTAAGACAGAAAGTCCACAAGGAGAGCAACGTTCAAATGAGGGGAAAATACTGATAACCTGTTGGTGCTTGCTCTCTCGTATGTAGAGGAACAAACTGAAAAGCAGTTACTGTTATTTTCTGTGGTGACGTGCAGAATACGAGTGTGATGATGTCAAGGCGCCAGACACATCACCAATGATATTTACATCTGCTCTACACCTTTAATAATATAAGATGCACCCAAATTGGACTAAGCTAGCTTGAGAACACACCGGTGAGAAATTAGATTGTAGGGATAGTGGTACGTACCTGGTTGATATCCTCAAGAGGGGGGTGTCCTCGGTCAGCAGCTCCTGTAGACAGAAAAGGGAGAAATTGACCATTGGATGACCACAAATGGTGGCAGCGGAAAGCAGTGTGAAGGCACGGCCTCACCAGAGGGGGCAGTAACGATTCAGCGAGCCATTCAAAGCCGCCACAAAGGAAGAGGCGATCCGGGAGACAAAGGGGGAAAACGTTCGAAGGAGAGCGGGAAAAAGTTCCGAGGTTGCCTCCAAAAAGAATAACAGCGGCACCGTCGCGTGAGGTGGAACAATGTGATGAGGAATTAAGCGAATCTCAACCTTCATCCTCCCAAACCTTGAGCAGCACGGCATGCAGCGTTAATCAGCTCAGTGAGTTGCTTCAGAGTTTTATGAAAACACAAAATGACAGAGAGAAAGTTCAGGAACAGAGGTGGAGGACCCTACAACACCAGTTTGGACTTTTGCAGAGTCAAGTAAGGCAGAATCAGAGTGATGGGGCGAGAATGCATGATGATAGACCAACAATAGAAGCGGAATTCTCCAACTCTAGAATCCTCAGAGCGACGCCAGAATACTCTGTGAGTATGAGCTCTTGTAGACCAGAAGCCTCACGCCAGCCCGCAACACCTACACAGATCACATGGCCAGCTCCACGGTTGCCAATGTTAAAGGAAGATGATGACATCGAACATTATTTAACCACATTTGAACGCATTGCACAAGCGGCACGATGGCCCAGAGTAGATTGGGCATTACATCTGGTGCCGCTGTTAGATGGCAAAGCGCGCGCCGCGTATGTGGCCATGGACAGTGATAGTGCAATTGAGTATGACGCCGTGAAAGAGGCCATTCTGAGAAAGTATGAAATTAATAGAGAAACGTACAGAAGAAGATTTCGATTAAATAAAGTCCAACCTGGCGAAACACCACGTGAGCTCTATGTGAGACTGAAAGGGCTTTATGAGAAGTGGATGGCACCCTCGGAAAAATCTAAAGAGGAAATAGGAGACGCGATTGTGCTGGAACAATATCTCCAGATCCTGAATGCCGAGCTAAGAAGTTGGATCATTGAACGCAGCCCTGCATCAACAATTCAAGCGGTCGAACTAGCTGAAGCATTTGTCGCGGCAAGAGCGACTGAGGCAGACTTCCAATTAGGAGCCATTACTGAGAGTGGACGGCCATCTCTTCAGCCCGGTAAGTCTGGGGTAATTGGTGGTAGTTGTAAAGCGCCCTGGTTACCTAATGTTCAGCGTCGGCAAAAATTCACTACTAGTAGCGTAGACAAGCGAAGGCATTTTAGTATTAGGAGTGAGAAAGAACTGATTAAGTGTTTTAATTGTGGCCAAGTTGGTCACAAAAGCAGAGTCTGTCCCAATATACTCACTAGTTCAAACCAGCTGGGTTATTCACCAATAGGGGATGAGAAGTTTAAATCAAGTGCCCGAAGTAAAGAGGTGTTAGTCCCAGTGAAAATAGGACATAAAATCTTCAGAGCTCTAGTAAATACGGGATCCAGCCAGACTTTGGTTACAGAAAAGTGTCTAGATTCAGCTCAAATCCATCATACTGGAAGCGTTAAAGTTAAATGCATTCATGGTGACGAGCAAATTTACCCCACGGCAGATATCAATATCAGTATCTTAAACCAAGACTACCTAGTAAGTGTGGGTATAGTGCAAAAGGCACCACATGCAGTAATACTGGGCAGAGATATTCCTATTTTGGTAGATCTGTTGAATCTAGATTCAAAACTAGCCGAAGTTAACGTAATTACAAGGGGGCAGAGTGCTAGAAACAAAATAACGGACGCAGAGGTGAAAGCATTCAGAGAACTTCCTTTTGCCCAGGAACCTAAAAGAAAGAAAAGTAAAATTGAAAAACGACAGGAGAAAGTAAGGGGCACAAGAATTCAGGAAGTGAGCCAAAAGCCCGTTATAGAAACAGCAGTAGAAGAGATTGCTTTACCGTCTAATTTAGCTGTGCTACAGACACAAGATAAAGCTCTGGAACCCTTGTTTGCAATGGTTAATAGCTCTAAAAACGGTGTACAAAAAGGCCAAGTGCTGATTAAAGACGACCACTTATACAGAGTGAAGAATGGGATAGAGCAATTAATTTTACCTTCCTGCTTAATTGAAAAAGTGTGTAAAATGGGCCATTCAGACCCATGGGCAGGCCATTTAGGCCACGCTAAAACTTTGAGCAGGATTGCTAGAAGATTCTACTGGCCACGTCAATATATGGATGTGATGGAATTTTGTAAAAATTGTCCGGAATGTCAGTTAACTGCTCCTACCAAAAAATCGGATGTAATACCATTGATTAATATGCCAATAATTAATACACCTTTCTCAAGAGTAGCTATGGACATAGTTGGCCCGTTAACCAGAAGTAGACAGGGTAATCGCTACATTTTAGTTGTATGTGATTATGCTACTAGGTATCCAGAAGCTTTTCCCCTTAGAAAGGTTAAAGCCAGGCAAATAGTCAATGCACTGATTCAGCTAATATCAAGAGTAGGAATTCCAAGAGAAATTCTTACAGACCAGGGTACTAACTTCACAGCGAAATTGTTAAAGGACGTGTATACTTTGTTGGGCATTAAGGGCATTACAACGACACCATACCACCCCCAGACAGATGGCTTGACAGAACGTTTTTATAAAACCCTCAAGTCCATGTTGAAAAAGTTTGTGGATGACAGCGGCTCTGACTGGGACACATGGCTACCGTACCTTCTGTTTGCTTACAGGGAGGTTCCACAAGCTTCATCAGGTTTCGCTCCCTTCGAACTGCTTTATGGTCCTGAAGTGAGGGGGCCATTGGATGTCCTTAAGGAGGCATGGGAGGGTGATAACCCTTCTGAGAAGCTGAACATTCTGTCCTTTGTGCTTAAAATGCGGGACAAAATGGCAGATCTCTCAGCAATGGTTCAAGGTAATATGAAAGCTGCCCAAGAGAAGCAGAAGGTGTGGTACGACAAGACAGCAAGACATCATGAGCTGAAGCCAGGTGAGAGAGTGCTCGTTCTGTTACCCACATCTGACACGGGCTTACTTGCAAAATGGCAGGGACCCTATACAGTTAACAAGAGGATCAATAAGACCACCTATGAAATAAAGAGAAGAAAGAAGAAAGGGACGCAGAGCTTCCATATCAATATGCTCAGGAAATGGCATGAGAGAGAGCTCGTAAAAGCTCACAACCTGTGGATAAGAGCCATAGATGAAGAGGAGGAGCACCAAGAGCAGTATTTTCCAAGCCTAAGCACAGCACCGGTTACACCTGATGTGTCACACCTCAGTGAGGAACAACAGGGGCAAATAGCAAAGATCTTACCTACATCACTCTTCAGTGAAGAGCCAGGGAGGACAAAGGCAGCACAGCACAAGATTCAGCTTGTGAAATCTGAGCCGATTCGGCAAACGTGTTGCAGAGTGCCGGCTCGTCTAATCCCTGACCTCAAGAAGGAGGTGAAGGCAATGCTGGAGATGGATGTCATTGAGCCGTCGTCCAGTGAGTGGTGTAGCCCTGTGGTGCTGGTGCCAAAAAAGGGATGGAGGACTGCGTTTTTGTGTGGATTTCTCCAAATTGAATGCTGTTTCTACATTTGACCCATACCCAATGCCCAGAGCGGATGAGCTGATCGAGAGGTTGGGTAAGGCAAGTTTTCTTACCACCCTGGATCTATGTAAAGGGTACTGGCAGGTCCCATTAGATCCAGCAGCTAGAGAGATGACCGCATTCAGAGTACCAAGTGGGCTGTACCATTTCAAAGTTATGGCTTTTGGGTTGCACGGATCAGCTGCAACTTTCCAGAGACTTATGGACAAAATTTTAAGGGGCACTGAAGAATATGCTGCATGTTATATTGATGATGTAATTATTTACAGTATGACATGGAAGGATCATTTGAAACATCTCGCTAACGTTCTCCAGAAACTTGCAGCTGCAGGACTTACAGTCAATCCCGTGAAGTGCAGCATTGCCAAGTCCGAGGTCTCCTACCTGGGGTATGTGCTGGGAAATAGAGTTATTAGACCACAGGTAGATAAGGTTGAAGCCATCAGGGCAAGCCCAGTTCCAACAACCAAGAAAAGGGTACGGTCATTTCTAGGGTTAGTTGGATGGTATCGACGTTTTATACCGGACTTTGCCAGGCGCACAGCAGTGTTAACGGACCTCACAAAAAAGGACATGCCCCAAAGAGTAAGGTGGACTGTAGAGTGTGAAGCTGCATTTCAGGACATCAAGAACTGTATGTGTTCTGAACCTGTACTGCGAAGCCCAGATTTTAGTAAACCTTTTACAGTGCAAACTGATGCTTCTGGTCAGGGTCTAGGAGCGGTGCTACTTCAAGGGGAAGGGGAACAGCAAAAGCCTATTTTGTATATCAGTCGTAAGTTATTCCCAAGGGAAACTAGGTATTCAACAGTAGAGAAGGAGGCACTAGCTGTAAAGTGGGCCTTAGATTCTCTAAAGTATTATCTGATGGGGGCTGAGTTTATCCTTGAAACAGACCACAGAGCACTGCAATGGATGGCACGCATGAAAGACACCAATGCAAGAATTACGAGGTGGTATTTATCTTTGCAACCTTTTAGGTTCACAGTGCAGTACATGAAAGGTTCCGAAAATATTATTGCTGACTACTTGTCTCGTCATTCTGAGGACTGACTTCGCTTAAGGTGGGGGGGTATGTGATGATGTCAAGGCGCCAGACACATCACCAATGATATTTACATCTGCTCTACACCTTTAATAATATAAGATGCACCCAAATTGGACTAAGCTAGCTTGAGAACACACCGGTGAGAAATTAGATTGTAGGGATAGTGGTACGTACCTGGTTGATATCCTCAAGAGGGGGGTGTCCTCGGTCAGCAGCTCCTGTAGACAGAAAAGGGAGAAATTGACCATTGGATGACGCTGTAGATTTAAGATACGTATGTAGAGAAATCTACGTTAATGGTGTCTTTGGTGATCAATGTGTATCGTGTACTGGTTTTACACTTCTCTTGTTCGTAACCTCCTTAGGATGGTATGTTCCAGGGAAGGGGAAGTATTAAGGCAGCAGTGCATGTGACAGGAAGGGACAGCTTGGAGCAGACGTGTCGTCTGCTAAGGGTGGCAGGGCCTAGCAGGCGGGCTCATGAACATGGAGGTAGTTGAGAGGCTGGGAGAAGCCTGATGGCTGTTTTAATCCATTTTCTTTTCTTTTTCCTTTGTTGTATTTTTCTTTACCTTTTTTTTGTAAAAACTTTAATAAATTGACAAGATTTGATGGATCCTCACCTTTGCGTCCTCCCGAAGTCTTCATCTCCTCCGCCACACATGGTCACATTACCACAACGAGCCAAATGAAAAACGAACCTTCCATCACAACGTTCTCACGTCGCTTGAATTCCTAGCTGTAAAAACAAGACTGAACTCATGTCTGAATTGAATACACTCGGCCAGGAAACGTAAAAAAGTCTTCACTATCCTGCTTTCCTCCGTTAAATCAGTGTAACAGAGCGTTTACTTTTCATTTTGGCACATTTACGGTATGTTACTGTTTAAATGTAATCTCATGTGTGCACGACATTTCACTGTTTTTGTTGCTTTTCAATCAAGCAAATATGTTTGAAGTACAAAAAAAGAGGTCAAGCGACATGAAAACTGTGTAACAGAGGTTTCATTTTTCATTTTGGCTCATATTTTCAGTGGCCGACAAGATGCTATTGATAGTATAATTGAAAACACTTTGCAAACTCATAAACGCGCTGCAAACACAAAAAACACTTTCATCAAAATGACGACACCTGAACTACATTTCACAAACGCACTGTAAACGCAGAAAAGTCAACAACTGAATGTCAAATCAAATAAAGTACAATTCAGTGATATTTCAACAATATTTACTCCCTTGTGTGTGTGTCACTCATTTGAGTCGCAGTGCGCCTCGTAATGCACAGATCTGATTGGCTGAGTAGCGTCGTGTGATATTCACAAGCATGCAATTAGTCTGCGAGTCTCCCAGGCTGCCGTAATGACTTGAAATGTTACGCCGATAAAATTAGGACCACCCTGTTGAAATTAAATAATTATCCATAGTTTATCAGTTACAGGTCCAGGTCCACACAGGACAGCGTCTGGGTCTGAACTCGGACCGCGGTCCGCCTATTAGTGACCTCTGCCATATATCATTCAGCGTTAATGCTGACTTCACAGATGTGCACGTCAGCCATGCCATGTGCACTAATGCACCCCTGTACCATCATGAATACTGGCTTTTTAACTGTGTGCTGATGGAATCAAGCTGAGGAAATTTTCTTTGACTGGACCTTACTGAATTTGAATTAAAGACCCCTGATATATGGTTTTGGCAAAATGTGCTGCTGTCCAGACGACATCTTTTTTCAGGCAAGGCCTTGAGTATTCTAGCAAGACAATGCTATTACAACAGCATGACTCTATAGTAAGAGTCCGGGTGCTAAACTGACCTGCCAGCAGTCCAGACCTGTCACCACTGAAAACATTTGGAGCACTATGAAACGAAAAATATGACAAAGAAGACCCCGAGTGTTGAAAGAAGAGATGATATAACACAGTGGTAAACATGTACACGTATGATATGTTGTCTTTGTACTATTTCCAATATAGGATTTATATGATTTGCCTATTATTGTAACCACATGACACAGATCAAATTAAGAGGTTTAATTAAGGTTTAATTAAAGAGGTTTAATCCTCTTTTAATTAAAAAGTGAGCTATGAGCTTGACTGTCTAATAAAAAGAGAACATAATAAAAATAAAAGGTAATAAAAGGTGAAGCGTAATAACTGAACGAGTCTCTCCATGTTTTCTGTATTTTACAGAAGGTATTTGCAGAAGGTCAGTATCTGCAGATCTAAGATCTCGTGCTGGAACATAAAAAGACAGACACTCTGTGATGTAAGCAGTGCTTTAAGGTCATTTAGAGAGCTTTAAAATCTATCCTGAATGATACAGGCAGTCAGTGCAGCTCTTTTAAAGACGGGAGTGATCTGATCTCTCTGTTTAGCTTTTGTTAGGATGCTGCTGTGTTTTGTACGAGCTGTAGAGGATATATTGTTTTTTAGGAAGTCCAGTAAGAAGATCATTACAGTGATCAACTCTGCTTGTAACAAATGCATCAACAAGTTTCTCAGCGTCGCTCTGAGAGAGAAAAGAATTTTAGTGATGTTTCTCACATGATGAAAAGCTGCTTTAGTGACTGTGTTTACATGCAGATAAAACAGAGCTCAGAGTATAAGATCATAGCCAGGTAACGACCCAGACAGAGCTGTGCAGCTACAAGTACAGTCTCCAAACCTGACCCTGCACTGAGGGTTTGGACAGCTGTTCGGGACAGATGGCCTACATGTTTCTCTCTCGGCTACAGCAGCCATCTCTCAATAAACGCTGTCAAATTACAGCATAAGAAACGTCACATGCACCATAAGCCACGGGCTAAACATTACAGACACAACAGACATAACTTCACTAACGATCACGAACAACTCTGCTAGCATGTCATCACTACACTGTGTTCCAAATGATTATGTAAGTGATTTATCAGTAGGATTTCAGTAAAATAAGCATTTAGGTTTTAGTTTTTCAAATTAAGTGTCTGTATTATTTCTCATACCTTTTAAGATAACTGTGATGGGGTTTTACACCCCATCACCAGCCCTAGTGACTGGTAGCATAACCATCAGAAGTATAGACATTTAAGTGAAATAAAATGTTACTCCCCTGTATTCCTTTGTTATGCATCTTTTAGGGGATGTCAGTGAGAGCTGTGGCTCCTCTTATCCCTAGTCGGATGGATCCACCGACACTCTGGTGCTGGTCCTGTAAAGAAAAGAAAACATGTTAGGAGGCTTTCATGATCTTTATATGTAATATTTGTATATACTTACCAGTAAGACTGTCATGGGTTGCAACCAGGTGTATGTTGTTACTGTACAGTATGCGTGTGTGTGTATTAGTTATGTATCCCGGGGTTGGGGTTTGGTGTAGGCTGAGGCGGAGCTTAGAGTACAAGAGCTCCGGGCCAGCCAGGAAACGGTCTCACCTGTACTCACTACTAACCGCCCGTGTAGCTTGAGTCAGCGTGTGTTAGATGTGTGTAGAGTTCCAGCCTCATGGCTGTTACTCAAATCTACTTGTGAATATATATATATATATATATATATATACATAAATACATATATATGTATATATATATATATATATATATATATATATATATATATATATATATATAGAAGCTATTCATGAGGGTATCACCATCTAACAATAACCGGCACCAATCTCAGACAGATTTGTTAATTACTTTGCCAGGTGATCTTCATTAAAGGGAATCTTACTTAAAGAGATTCTTCCACATTATTAAGCCACAGTTCTCATGCAATATGGGGAGAAAGAAAGATGAAAAGTGTGGAATAGTGGAACAAAAGGCATGAAAACGATTGATATTTCACAAAAACTGAAGAGAAATCATCAAACTGTGAAAAGATATGTGGGAAATTCAGAGCACAGGTGAATATGGTCAGATAAAGGCGTATTAAGGAAAGTTTCTGTCAGACAAATTAATTGTATTTAAAGCGCAGCTATAAAAACACCACTGTTGAGCAGCAAACAGGTGTTGGAAACTGCTGGAGTCTCTGGAACCTCTCCATGCAGGATCCTCCACAGGCTGGCAGCTGTTCATAAAGCTGTATTTTGGCCACCACTAAGCAAAGCTCTCAATAAGAAACATTTGCAGTGAGCTCAGAAATACACAAAGACTAATTTTCAAACAGTTTCATTTTGCTTATATATGCCATGCTACACTAGATGGACCAGATGGATGGAGTTCTGGATGATTTGTTCAAACAAGCCTGCAACGTCAGCAAGGAAGTTGAGGAGTGATGATTTGGGCCAGAATATTGGGAACTGAGACGGTAAGTCCCTTTACGCTCGCTGAGGGTGTTAAAATGACCTCTGCATGATATATAGAGTTCCTAACCAACCATTTTCTGCCATGGTATAAAAAGAAGAATCATGTCTTCCGAAATAAAATCATTTTCATGCAGGACAGTTCACCATCACATGCTGCAAAAAACACCATTGACTCCTTGGCTGCTATGAGCATAAAAAATCATGGCCACCATCCTCCCCTGACCTCAATCCTACTGAGAATCTGTGAAGCATCCTTAAAAGGAAGATCAATGAAGGTGGGCATCAGTATAGCTCAAAACAGCAGCTCTGGAAGGCAATAGTGGCATCCTCAAATGAAACAGGCAGGAACTATACATGGACATAAATCCAATGGTCGACAGAGTTGATAAAGTCATCTCAAAGAAGGGCTCATATACTAACATGCAACTTCATCTGTAAGTGTAATTTTAGGCTTAACTTGTTTTATATTTTTTTATATCTTTTGAAAAATTATGTGTCCATGCAGCAAATATGACACATAAGAATGTCATTATGATCCACTGAATGTTTTCAAAAACTGCATTTTGCATAATAATTTGGAACAACATATTTTATGTTCTTTTCAAAATATTATGTATATAAATGTAATAACATTCACATTACGATACAATTGTTGAGATTAAAAAAATCCTTAACTATATTTTCTTTTAGAAAAAACAAGCAAAAATTTGGAACATGTTATATTTAGGTACAACAGCCTGTCAAATTGACTATAGCAAAAATTAATTTTAGGCCTACTTTTGATGTCTTCCTGTGCCCTTACCAGTGCCTTCCTGTACCCTTACCAGTGCAATGACATTGGGGAAAGGCCTGTCTGTTGTGGATGGTGACAGTGCTAATTTGGTGCCCGTCCTCTGTAACCTTAACGGATTCAGTAACGTTAGCAGTGCTATCAGACACCGGCTCCTCCAGTCTAGGAGTTTTGATGAACCTCACAATGGACATTTGTTTTGCTGCTGCTGGGTTAACTTTGCTGATAACCTGGCTAATCTTAAGCTAACATTAGCCAGCACTAGCAAAGCAGCAGCGAGTTCATTTCTGTTTCAGTTTGGTGTGCTGTGGTCGATTTGAATTGGCATTGACAACATCAGTAAAACAGCCAATCACAGCACATGTGCAATTTACAAAGAACTGTTACTGGTTGAAAGAAATAATAGACAGGTTGTTGCCTCCAATCAGTACCAAAATGAACCACCTCCCCCACCTTTTGTACAACAGTACTATGACATGAAAATGGGTATGAAATCAGTATGAATATCACATAATCATACAGAGATAAAGAGAGAAGGAATATAAACCACATATTAACTTGTTTGAATAATAGCAGATTAATTCCATGGGATTTTATTCTAAGGGATTTTTTTCTCTGAGAGAACATCTGAGAAAAAGAGACCCTCGAGTGACCACTGTAAACTCATCAGAGGAGAAACTGAGTGAACTGAGGAAAGACAGCTTTAGAACTTTGATTCCCACCACGAGTTCATATCCATACCTGATTATCAGTTATTAATGATCCATTTTCAGCAGGACTGACAGCTGTGATCCCAGTTTAGTACATCAGGAGCTCCAGCTCATCACTGAGTCACTGATTCCCCTTCAGAGAGAAACACAGTGTCAAACTCTACAGTAAAACTGGCAATGTGCAACAAAACAGAAGAGACAGTACAACACAGAAGAGCAATCAATCAATCTACCACAGAAAATAATATCATACATTATGTGTATACAATATGTACTGTATTGAGTCTTGTTAACCATTCTTAAAGCTCACCTGTGTTCACAGGTATGTGGACATGAACTGATTAGACCAGAAAGCTTTTTGAAGTAATTGATCTAACTGTCTGGACAACATATACAAAATTTACAATTCAGACAAAATGAGTAGAATAACAATTACATAATTAATGAAAACACTGTTGTACTTGATTATATGTACAAGCTCACTGGCCACTTAATTATGTACAGTTACCTTGTATCTATGCTCATTTTCCATTTAATCAGGTCCATTTAATGTGTAGGTGCACAGATTGTAGTTGATCTGTTTCTCTGCATAATTCGTTAACCCTTTCACTTCATTCATCAATGATCAGGACCCCAACTACGACCACCAGGACCACCACAGAGTAGGTACTATTATTATTTCATTCTCAGCACTGCAGATGAGCTATTGACTCTGACTTTACCTCTACAATGTGGACCAACAAGGTAGGAGTGTCTAATAGAGTGGAAAGTGAGTGGACACAGTGTTTAAAAAATTCAGCATCACTGCTGTGTCCAATACACCACCCTAATAATACATGCTCTGTGGTGGTCCTGTGGGGGTTCTGACCACTGAGGAACAGGATGAAAGGGGGCTAAAAGGTATGCAGAGAAACAGACTGCAGTCTGTAAGTTAGGAGTACCTTAAAAATGGCCAGTGAATGTTTACGTATGTGTGGGAGAGAGAGACAGCACGAGAATGAACATCTGAAGCCCACCTCACTGTGCTAAATACACTCGTCCCTTAACAGGTGTGGAGGTCTCTGGTCAATTTCTTTGTTGCCTGCAGCTTGTAAAGGTGGATTCTTCACGGCTGCATCAAAAATGAAGAAAAAGTGAGCAAAATTAGTAATAAAAACTCAACAAAGGTGAGAATAATCCAAAAAATAAGACAGTATGAAAACTAAATATACAAATCAACAACAAGAAAAAGAAAAGGTAAATGCGATAGAACATAAGAAGGAGCATGTCACTGTAATAACCATGTACCACAATAACCATGTACTGTTTTTCACAACAGCACACTACCTTGAAAGATCTTACTTTTATGCAACAGTTTTGCAAAGTAAAGAAAAAAGCAAGGCATATGAGCTCCAGCTCTAAATACATCTGAAAATCTATAATATTGGCAACATTTCATGCTACAATATGTAGTAAAATATAGAATGAAATATGTACTAATAATATGAAGAGCAATACTATAAACAACACTGTAAGTGAAGCACCTGGGACAAGCTGTAAGTCCTGATCAGTCGAGAACCAGATGGATATTTGTAGGAAGAGAGAACATTCTAACTTCAACAACTGAAACAGATACAGGCAGATTTCTGTTGACTAACTAAACCTGTACAAGCATTCAAGCTTCTCAAACCCAGTAAAGACGATGTTCCATACCTCAAAAATAGAAACACTTTTTGTTCCTGACCTCTTCTGGGCCCACGGGCCAGTCTGGTCTGCGACACAGTCCTATTCGGCCGGCGAAAATATTTTAATTTTCTATTGTTTCACCCTGAGATGCACTAAAGTGCCCAGCATGCACTGCAACGTTGTGTGCATTCTGACCCTCTTCCCCCAACAACAATCTATGGGCCACTGGTTACACAAAAAGAAAAGGTGCCTGGTGTCTAGTTTAAGCAAACAGGCGGTCCCTAAACCAATTAAAATTTATTTTAATTTAACATTAATTTTATTAAGTATTCAATGCCTATTTTGCTGTTGCAGTTTCGGCAAAATGTTAAGTAAAAATGAAATAAAACCACAGCTGGCTCACAGATTTGCTGGGATTTTTTAATATGGCCCTTTCAGTGGTTAAATTTGACACCACTGGCTTAGATGGTCAGTGAGGAGCAGATGGACAAAGTACACAACTTTTTAATTGTTGTGTAAGACAAGTGTTACAATCTTGAGTAAAAGCAGAAAAACTCTTAAATATTACTTGTGTAGATGTTTTCAGTCAACATTTGTGCTTGAGTTCTTGTTTTTAAACTATATATAACTCTCAGAAGGAAAAGTTATTATAGAAAATACGTAAATGTGGACGAAGATTTTCTGCTAAGGAGACTTTGCTACAGATATGAACAGTTAACTCTGATGTCTGCAGCCACACAGGCCTCAATTTTTATGGACACTTCCCCACCTTAGATTATTTTCCAGGTTAAGACAGAAGCCCATCATCTCACATCCTTAAAAGTGGGCAGACTCTGGTCCACATTGTACTGAAGAATGTTAGCCATCAATTCTGGACGAAGCGGGAGACCATAGTTCTCTTATTCTTCACATTTTCCGTTAAGTCACATTAAATCGCAGTGTTTTCATTCCACAGTATGAGGTGGCATGAAAGCAAAATTCAGCTTCACGAACGACGCATTATGTTTATTTTAAATGGTAAGAAACAGAAATACGATCTGTGCCAGAACTTTTCCAAATGCACTCTGCGCTCTGTTAAGTACCCCCTGCCCTCCACCCTCCCCTTCATGACCTTTATGATATAAGCCTATATATAATGATATTTGGTTGAACCTCAAAGCAGAAACATGAACAGAAGAGAGACAAATATTTAGTCTAATACAGAATTTCAGGTCACTTAATTAGTTAGCATCTAGTTACCAAATCGCAGTTTTAGCCTGCTAACGTTAGCTGAACGGATTAGCTAGCTAATAGTTAGCTAACAACTCTAACAAGTGTAGCACCAGTTTATTAAAAACTGAATAGAAATTCGACACCGTTCCACAAGTTAAAAATGGTATTTCTCTAAAAAACAACCTGTTGTCTTGTTATTTTGTGAGAGCAAACACTCACCTGAAAGAGGAGACTCGCTAGTCTAGCTAACGTTACCACAGCAGATAATAGCGAGCTAACTGACTGTTAGCAAGTGATGCTCATTTTCATTTTAACACATGAAGAGTTCAACACTAACAAATCATAGGATTAGGTTTGAGTAAATGTCTGACTGAAAAAAACTGTTAGTATATCAAATAAAACAAGCATTTACTTACCAGACGCGTTTTGAAGCTTTCCGAAGTTTCCAGAAGCTGCTCTAAGCGCGCGCTTCCCGCCTCTGCGGTGGAGCGTTGATGACGGTTCGGACCTCAATACATGTAGAATCTGCCTCAATACAGGTGGAATCTGCCTCAGTACGGATATAATCTGCCCCAATACGGGTAGAATCTGCCTCGGTACAAGTGGAATCTGCCATTATATGTTACCGAAACATCAGATGTCGAGCCAAACCTGTACCCGTCCCGATTCCGCTGTGCCAAAACTCTTAGCCGAAGCAGCAAAGTAGCCGAGCTCGGACTGTCTCTTCATGTTAGCTGGGTTATTAGCCCATTAGCGTGTTAGCTAGCGTTAGCGTTATCTAGCTAACGGCCAGCCAACTGTGGGAAAACATTACAATATATACCAAATAGAGTCTGTTAATGGCTGTTTTTGTTATCTCTTCTGTAGTTTTGTCCGCGGGTTTGATAAATTCCGTAGCTCCGTGTTTACAGAGAATCAGTTGGACGCTGCCGGGTCAGTTCGCTCAACAGCGACCCGCCCAGGAACTAGAACTCATGGAAAAGCGGTCCGTCAGCTGATGCAGCGCGTCCGCTATGAGACAGTCACGAACTCAGTATAAGAACCATTTATTATTATTACCATTTAACATTAATAATAATAATAATAATAACAATAATAATCAGAATGTAATTGTTTTTAAATAATGATGTATGATAATATTTGGTTTTATCAGTATTATTATGGGTTTAATAAAAAATTGATAAAATAATTTCTAAAAATACAAAGCACCCAAATATAATGTTCCTTTCATAACTGTAATAACACCAAAAACAAAGATATCCATGTAATTGTATATTTAGATAAGTATGTTTTGAGTCTTTGAACTGTTTGATTTTGAGAAGGAGGCAATTTACACTATTATTAGGAGTAATAGTACTAGTATTACTCATAAGATTAGACAGACAGACAGACAGATAGATAGATAGATAGATAGATAGATAGATAGATAGATCACTTTATTAATCCCAGAGGGAAATTCTTCTATTGCTGCAGTACAAACCACAGTACAGAGCAAAACAAGAGCCAAATGAACAGGAGCAAAATATTGTCTTACAGTATTTACAGATACATAAATAGAGAGTAAAGATAAATAATACAATAACATGAAATAAAAGTGTAAAATAAAAATATACTAAAAACAAAATTAATGTAAAGTACAAAATTAAGAAGTAAATTGCATAAATACTATGCAGCTGACAGTGCAGTGGTGCCTCCAGTGAATGAACCAGTGACTATGTACTGTAATGATAACTGCATCTGCTATGGTAGGCAATTTTATGGTCCTGCAGAATTTGGCCAAGTGGTAGCATGTAAAAGAGAAACAGTGCAAGAATCGATCCCTGTGGGACTCCACAAGTTAGAGGAATTCGCTCTGATTTATCGTTGCCGAGTGCAACAAGGTAGTTTCTGCCATGTAAATATTATTTGAACCAATTTAGGACTATTTCAGAGAGTCTTACCCAGTTTTGCAGTCTATCTACAAGAATCCTATGGTCAGCCTCAAAGACAGCCCTAAGATCCAAGAGTACCAGAACCGAAATTTCAGACTCAGAGTTCAGACGGATGTCATTTAGAATCTTTACTAAAGCAGTTTCTGTACTGTGATCAGGGCGAAAGCCAGATTAAAATTCATCAGAGCAGCTATTTGAGCTTAAGAAGTGGTTAAGCTGCGTAAAAAGAGCAAAAATGCCAATTCTCACAAAATGCTGCTTTAAACGTTGGTGAGTGAGTTACAACCCAGTTCCATGAAGTGCTTCGCTTCTAAGATCACTGAGGTCGACTTAAAAGGAGCGTACTGAGCTGAACTGGTGAAGCAGGAACTAAAGGAGGTAAAATGGTTCATGTTTGTGGGAGACATTAGGAGAAAAACACGTCTATGACCGAAATAAAGTATGTTAAATAAAATACATATATTTTTTCCTTGTAAGTAGTTATTACTGTTTAAAGTCAACTCATAAAGCATGTTTTAGTGGCTCTCTAACATTTTAAACACACCTCTCATTTTTTTTAAACATCTATACTTACATAATGTAACACTCCAAGGTCCCATTATCCCCATTATCTCTGACCCACTTGGTGTCACTGGCTTAATGATCACCGGCTCCGCCCCTCACCTGATCTTCATTCTGCTCCCTATTTAGCCACAGCTCAGCTGCCTCAATCTGTGTGTTGATAGTTTCTGAGTCTTGCTGGTTTACTGCTGTCTGCCGGCTGCTGGTTTGCTTTGGATTAATGAAACAGGATTTCATTAACAACAGTGACTTTTTAATGGTGTTTCATAGCTTTGGGGCTATTGAAGGCCAAACGTAGCTCGACCTGTCAGATCTGTTATATGATGAAGCTGAATAACACTACTCATAATTTGGTGTTATCAGGTACCGTCTGAGTTCTAAATGAGTTCTGATGTGAACAACAAGTGATCTGAGATCACATCAATGCGAAAGAGAACCAAGTCCCCTTTAAAATGTGCTTACATTGTGGACACAGACAGCACTGGGTCCGTTGTAGCTGGTTCACTTTAATAGAACTGAATTTGGTTCATTCATAAAGAACTACATGTGAAAACACCCTTACAAACATTTGTATGTGCTGGTAAATATCTGATGCGTAGAAGTCCTCCAAGCCTGAGAGATCCAGCTCGTTAGCATTGAGGAGGAAAAGGTGTCGGTAAAGTCCCATGCTTCCAGCTTTCCTGAGCAGTGCGTGTGCAGTTTCCCTCCAGCACAGGTCCAGGTGGTAGAGCAGGTGCTGTGCAGCCTTGAGCCTAAAGGCTCAGCTAACAGGCCAAGAGGTGCGTTGAGCACGGCCAGTCTGTGCCACAGGGTGGATGCCGCCAAGCTGTTAATTATCAGCACCCGTCCTCCGTAAGACACCTGCGACAGCAGCCACGTCCATCTCGCTAGCCTCTCAGATATTCGCGTCAAGGCACACTCCCAGTTTTTCTTCACCACTTCTGCAGAGCCTAGATGAATTCCCAGCACTTTGAGACCTGTTTTGCTCCACAGCAAATGTATGTGTGTAACCTCCAGCTATTGAACATCCACTCTGTTGCTCACAAACACAGAGACGTCATCTGCATAGCCTGATACAGAGATATTTGGCATCCCTTGCATGCTCACCCCTTCACATAAAACCCCACCCTGTCCCCGCACTCGATGAAAGGCAGGCAGGTTATGAGTCGTCTTAAAATAAGCACAATCCTCCACTGCAGATCCCCCGGGCGCTTCTCGATTAGAAGCTTGTACAGGGATCTCCAACTGCCTTGTGGTGAAGAGCCTGGTGCCAACACACCCAACCACCTCGATTCCTTCAAGCCATCCAGTGAGGTTCTGTGAAGGACTTTCACACAGACGTCATACAGCGCCTTCTTGGATACATCTGCAAAGCCAGCTAGTTGTGGAGTCCTGAACGAGAGAAGTGCTCCCTCCTCCTCCTGATAATCCCCTATTTCAGCAGTAATAGGGAGAGAAGCGAAGGGCTCCTGGTCTCCACCTGAGTGGTGCTCTAAGGCCCCCCTAAGAGAAGTGGGCAGTGAGATCACTTCTCCTGTGATTCTCTGAAGCAGTCGAACAGACATAATACCAGTTGCAGCACCTAGAACTTCACCAGATTTCCAGTCCTCACCAACTCTCACATCTCCTAGATTTGTAATTCCTGCCCCCTGAAAGCACAGGCGGATACTTCTGAAGGTCAGCTCAGTGACTGGAATCAAAGACAGACAAAGAGAGAGAGAGAGAGAGAGAGAGAGAGAGAGAGAGAGAGATAATGGGAGAGAGAGAGAATGGGAGAGAGAGAGAGAGTAATGGGAGAGAGTGAGAGAGAGAGGTTCTCTATCTATATTCTGGTTCTTTTTCTCTTTGATTTGATTCTTCAGGTGTAAATAAGTTTAAAACTGTACTCACCTCTTATCTGGCTGTGTATGGGAGAAGATCCACGCTGTTCTATCTGAGAATACTTTGGGTTCCAGATAAATGATGTTGCACATCTGAACACTATGAGGTCAATATATATACACTAGCTACGTGTGTGTGTGTGTGTGTGTGTGTGTGTGTGTGTGTGTGTGTGTGTGTATGAATAAACCCCATTAAATAAAACCCTTAGCTTTTATTGATCATTTCTAAGCCATTCAGCGATGTTTACTGGTGTTGGTTGGAGTGTCTGCTATGAAGGGAAAGTGACCTGCCTGCTCTCTCAGCTGTTTCAGCAGCACTGAGCGGTGCTTCTTGCTGCCTGTTCAATAAAAGTGCACTTGCTTTTAAAGCACAATGTTTCCTACCTCTTCTTCTTTGCTGAAGCTGCAGTATGTTTTTCATATTTCTAGATATTTGGATCTCAGATGTGAGTCCAGTGTCTCTCATAAGTCTCACTGTACACTGGGTGAACTCGGAAATATAAGGACTACAGAGAGCGGAGCGTCAGGTGAGCAAAGTGCAGGGGGTCACAAACCAGCAGTTCAGCTGCGGCTTCCCTTACAGACATGCTTAGTGATTGTGAGATTAAACACATTAAACACAAACTTCAACACAACACCAACAAGAATAACGATAATATTAAAGTAAAAAGAGCTCTTGTATCGGAATCTGTATCAGAATCGGCAGCTGTGTATCGGAATCGGATCGGAACTGAAAAAATGTGGACCGGCCCATCTCTAGAACAGAAATGCTAAGATGTTAGCAAAATAACAGCAAATATTCAAAGAAAGACTTCAGAACTTCAGACTGGAAAAAGTAGCAGAAGCAGAGCTGTTTTACCTTCTTATCCACATATCTGATTAGATATTCAGTTTGAACAGTGAAAATGTTAAAGAGGAATTCCACTGATTTCTTCTCCAAAAGTCCTGCATAATTAAGTGGTTAAGATGTAAACAGAGTCATTCAGAGTGGTTTGGTGTGAAAGGCTCTGTTCTAGAGAAACTTAGAAGCTCCCGAACAGAAGATTATTACTTTAAAAGGTTATGAATTCATCACCTGATGCCTGGGACACTGTTTTACGAGAGTGTTGAGATGAGGTTTTGGCATAAAGTGTATATTTAAACACTTTACTGAAACATAGTTCTCTGCACTGCAAAAATGTTGGTGTTTTACTAAGACTTAAGACCTTAACTTCATTTCTTAAGACCTTAAAAATGATTTTAATTAGACTTTAAATAACAAGATTAATAACAGATTAAGGCCCTTTTCACTTACCATTAGATGTTCAATGAACCTCATCCAGGTATTTGTCATTGTTGTTGTTTTACAATATGAACTATTTACTGTTTTGTATTATGTTTTAACCATTTGGTTATTTTTATCATTACTGTCAATTAGTGCTCTTACAGTTTAGTGCTATCATGGCATTTACCTGTAACTACACTTGCTTTGGATTCCATGTAAAAGTCCATAAATCACAAATATAAGCCTGCAGTTCAACAGCAGTCTTACCTGAATGGTGTCAGGGAGTGGAATAGTGGACCTTCTTCTGTGACTCTCAGTTAAATTAATGTTCTTGTGGTTTTGTGGAGGCTGGGAGAATTTAGCATTTCTCAGAAATGAGGTGTGAGTTTTATTTCGCATGCTATGGTTCCCCTAATAGTGGTGCACGTACATTTTCTGCCTAACACTTTGCTGATGATGGTTTGTGAGCTCGTATGATCAACAGGCTGCAGCATGAGCTACAAAAGCTCTGTGCAAAACAAATCCAGAGTCATGAGATTGCTAGATTGTTTAGCCTGTATGTTTGACACTAGCCTTCATTTTATACATCAAACTACACTAGATAATCTGTTGATTTAGACAAAATCAGTTAGAACAACGGAACCCAGACGTGAAATTTTACTTTCCCAAAATTGGATTTTTCTACATAAATGCGTCACTGTTTCACACAAGGCCTTCAAACGTCTGCTGTCAGCTCAGGAGGGAGGTGGGTGTGCACAGCAGTGCGATCACCCCTGTGGAATATTCCAGACTGGTAAAACTGGGGGTGTTACAACCTTCTCTGGTCAGTATTTCCATATAAGATATGTTAAGAAATCTCTGACCGCATTTGAAACAAAACAGGTAAGATAAGTGATAATGAAATGAATGTGGGAATATAGTAGTTATCTGGAAGCACAGTCTTACACTAAAAAGGACAAAATCTCCATAGAATGATGTACATTAACTGTTATAAACTATTTTATGGATGAGAAGTTACTTACAGTACATCAACACTCACATGAAAGTGAACAATTCAGCACAGCTGCTCCAGAATCAACCACAGTAGGAATGAATATAAATCATCTAAATATTGTGTTTCATAACATACACAGATTAAACCTTTCCAGTGGTGGACAGTAACGAAGTAAATTCAAAGTAATTTGTTGCTGTACTTAAGTAGTTTTTTCATGTATCTGTACTTTACTGAAGTATTTCCATTTTTTGTGACTTTTTACTTTCACTCCACTACATTTCACAGTCAAATATCTTACTTTTTACTCCACTACATTATGTGAAATCTGTCGTTCCTTTTGGTTTATGTGTGTATAAAAACATAACATGCCAAAACAAAAGAAGGGTGAAGCAAGAGCACCAATCAGGAAACAGCGCACACTTTGTTTTGAGCTTGTTTTGACCTGTTGGACATACCGACCCAGTGCAGCACACGGTTCAACGTCAGTACAGCAGCGTAAAATTTTGGGAGAGTCTATTCAACATAAATGATGAACTAACCTAACTTTGTGTAAATAGACCACAATATAGAAATATGTACACATATGCAGTTGTGACTGACGTGTCTTTTTTCTGAATTTATACAAACACGATTTCATTTTATAGTAAGTTTGTTTTGGCTAGTTTATGTTTATGAACAGAGACCTACAGATACAACATAGTAAAGGAAAACTCATTTGTGAATCTGTGATTAAAGCAAGTTTTTATTAAACTTAAACTTGTAACTAAGTTGCAAATAAATCTTAAACTGAAACTTTGCTTGTTCACAAAAAGTTATTTCAGAGCCACTTGGTTCTACTTTTGCCCAGTGTTTAGTGCTTATGATAATTTTAATAGACATCAGCGTCAGACTAATTAATGACATTCTATTAAAAGATTGGTTTACCAAGAGTGACACTGGAGTATTCTCACCTAAAATGAGTTGATAAAGCAAGTGTTTTGTTACAGAAATGCTAATAGGACATTAGAGCCAGAATTAACCTTTTAGTACTTTTACTTTTGATACTTAAGTACATTTGACGGCAAATACTTTTGTACTTTTACTCAAGTGGAGGTCTAAAGGCAGGAACTTCTACTTTTACTGGAGTAACATTTTACCTTGGGTATCTCTAACTCAAGTACATGGTTTGTGTACTTCATCCACCACTGAACCTTTCCATAGTGGGCACAGGCTCGCTGAAGCTGGAAAAACATTGCCTGGTCTAAGTAATCTCAATTTCTACTGCGATATGAAGATGGCAGGCTCAGAATCTGACATAAACAGCATGAGTCCAGGGACCCAGCCTGCCTTGTGGAAACAGTTCAAGCCGCTGCTGGTGGTGTAATGATGTGGGGAGTGCTTTGTTGGCACATATTGGGCCAACAATAGCATTGTTTGAACGCCACAACCTAACCACCCGCATCCTTTTGTGGCCAAAATTTACTCATTGTAGCACCACCTACTTCCAGCAAGATCAGGTACTGTACCGTCATCTCCATGACTCCCATGAACATGTCAGTGATTCAGTGCACTTCAGTGGCCTCCTCAGTCACCAGATCCGCATCCGATAGCACGTCTTTGGCATGTGGTCGACCCGGAGACTCACAGCAAGAATGCTGACGTATATTACACGCAGTTACATCGTTATGTCAGCGTGGATCAGAATTTCTAAGCAATGTGCACTAAAAATAATAATTTAATGCCATGTTCAAACTTTTGCATAATACTAAAGTTTATTTATTAGTAATGTCACAGTCAAAGAAGAAGAAAAGATTATCCAAGTTTAAAATGGCCTTTTATTTATTTATTTTATTTTAGTAGAAATACAAAGCAATAGATGATAACACTTTATTTTGATGGTCCATTGTAGATGCTCAGTCTGCCTTTGAGTAACACTCAACTAAATATCTATTAAATGTGTCTGAAACTGAAGCGTGATAGATTCTATTAAATATAACCCCATCCTTAACTTCAATCCACAAACCTAACCCTCACCATGACGTTGCTGATAACCAACTGATAATGACCAGAAACTTTGTTAGAAATGTAAGTAGCGGTTGACCATCTATAGGGGACCATCAAAATAAAGTGGGACCCCTTTATCTGTTCCATGTGAGTTTATGAAATATATTATTAAATGCATGATTTGCACTTGTCTGCATTGAAAATGCATTTACAGGATCTCTGCAGTTCAGTCAGAGGTATTACACAGACATTGTGTCATAAAAACAACATTTTAGAACAAATCAATGTAAATACATGAATTACAATCTATATTTTTAGGTGAAGGAATATTTTACTCATTAATGATCCTGTTGAAAGTTTAGGATTGGCTAAGGACTTCCAAGTAACACTGGAACAAGCAGGGTTCGAGTAGTGGTGGAGGTCTTGTAGTGGTAGAGAAGTGTCCCCTGCTGGAAAGTCTGACCATATGGTGACCTATGTATTGATGCTGACCAGCTTACTATCTTACTATACCGATAAGAGTCCTTGGGCAAGACTCCTAACACTACCTTCGCCTACCTGTGTAAAAATGGTCAAATTGTAAGTCACTCTGGATAAGAGCGTCTGCCAAATGCTGTAAACGCTAATGTACTATCTTCATAATCTATTATGCGTTATGGTGGGTTTACTCTTATAGGTTGCTGTGTGAAGAAAATGAACAATTTTTCTTTTGGTAAACATTGGAAATGGGTCCCCCAGACCTGAACACCACACAAAGAGTATACATGTTAGTATACATATTTATATAATTGAACTATATAATTTATATACTTAAACTGTGCCTCACTATGTGTGTGAAACCCTTGTTACCTAAGCCTGTTTCCCCTGTGAGGAGCTCCGTTTGTTTTAGCAATGCTGTTAAATCATATAACTTCCTGTTAATCATGTGACTTCTGCTTGTTGTGTGCTGAGGTTGTCCACTTTTAGAAAGGTAAAGGGGTTTTAGTTAGATGATTGTAACATTGTGGGACACAGTGTGCGTCACTAAAACTTAATTCTCAGTGTTCTACAGCTTTCTTAGTCATTAAGAAATCTCATAAACACACACAGGGGAATAGGTTAAAGAACTTTGAGTTTCATGCATTGGTTTATCTTGTGGAAACATTCAGCATGATCACAATTCTGATCTGGATATGTTAAGT